AAAAGGGATACAGTCAAATGATTGTGGTATTCTGACTTCAAAACAAAAAAGAACAAAAATATAGCAGATGAGACCAAGAAATTCTCCATTTTTATTGGTTAGGAAGATATCTCAGCATGCATCTGTATGATTTGTCTATAAATTTTGGGATGGGACGTTTTTAGCAATCATTCCCTTAGATTGAGACCAACAAACTCCTTGAGAATTTTAATACTAGTCTTTTCAATGACAAATGTCTGAGAAGATGTAAATTGGTCCTTTGTATGATAATAGAGAGGTACAGGTATTGTTCCTTATTTAATAACTCTAAAATAAGACGTTAAAACAGGTTTTAAATATTTGAACAAAACTCAAGTTGAGCACAATTTGAGTTTCTAGAAACTTCTTCCCAATAACAACAATATTTATGTAGAACATTGTATCAAAACTGTTGTTGATTGATAATCAATTTTTTTCAACAAAATATATAAATCTTGCAACAGAAATGTTTGTCATTTGTATCCGATAGAGAACTAAAATTGTCCTACAATCAGTATTTTCTTTATTTTTTATTAGATGCAGTATTGTCAAACATTATTATTATTATTAATTTTGATTAGTATTGACTTTATTTAAGAATTATTCTGGTTGCCAGTTGAAAAGGTCCAAACTGAAATCTCTTTTAGCTCCTGGGCAAAAATATCATCAGTGGAGCATTAGAAGTAAAACTGACTCTCTATATATTTTTAGTTCTGACAGGTGTTCAAGTAAAGTTTTCAAAGAACTGAATGATCATAGATTTGGGTTTACTTAAAACTTGTTTTACACAATCTTCATTATTAGTTTCTCTAAACTTTTTTGTTCTTCAGACTCCTAGCTCTTACTCCCATCAATCTCTTCATCTTTTTTTTTCTTTTGTGTTTCTTTTGATAATGTTTTCACTATATTCTTGAAGCAAAGATATATAAATATATATCATCTGGTTCATACTTCTCCTCAGTCTTTTTAACAGGACTAGAGGTTTATCCCTTGTTCCCTGTTTAGGATTGGGTTTCCAGTTTCTTCTGAAGTCTTTTTATTTTCTTTCACTCCCAGTAGCCCCTTTCATCTTAGTGGCATTATCACCTTACTTGAGACAAATTAATTAATGATAAAAATATAGTTTTAAGGTATGTTATATTTATGATTTAAAGTCCTTGACATTAGGAGTAGAGCATATGTAAATATATAAGTGAACATTGAGGTCAACATCCAGCAGTAACAGTTTGTTTCATGCTTAAGCACAATTATCAATATATATATATATATATATATATATATATATATATATATATAATTTTATGGACAAATGACCAAATGGTTAGGACATTCATTTTTTGGCCATGAGACCAGTTGTGAAATCTCACCATGCCCGATTTGTCAGGAACATGACTTCTTGATGTTATCAGTCTGGGGAGGTGATCTCACCATGCACCACCTTTGAAAAGTGTCTGAAGACTATACCATAGGTTGACCCAAGTCTCATGAGTGAAATTTGGTAGATAGAACTATTTGGGAGCTATTGGTTGCACAAGTACAAAGTCACAAGTCATCATGACCAGGGGGTTGAACATACTGGCCTTGTTCAGACTGTTGATTACGCCATATAATGCACCCTCTTCCAGAAACTGTAACTACGGTCTGCTTAACATAATTATAGCATAAACTGCAGGTGGGCTCTGTAGGTGTTGAACAAACATAAATATACCTGAACAGAGAATGGTTAGCTGCCCTAGTAGACAGACATGCTCAGATACAATCAAACATATATATATATATATATATATACCTACTTCATTTTACATTTTCTCACCTCTTTTGAGAGAGCGGAGAGGTTTCAATGCTTGGTTGGTTAATATGAAGATAATGTGGAATCATGTGTCAGCTGTTTCCATGTTCTTGTGAAATAATAGTTATTTGATCTGCTTTGAAGATAGACATATTTCTGTGGTCATGGAATGCAATACCTGGATTATCTAAAATCAGAAATGACAGTTTGCTGTCCAAAATATCTACAATTTTGGCATTTCTGATTTTTTTTTTTTTTTTTCTTCCTCCACAGCTGTCATTTCTAAATCAAGATGAAATCGGTCAATGTGTAATTTTGGCATTTTCCAAGAATTACTTTTATACGTTTGCTGGTCAAGAACTTGGAAATCAGAATTTGCTGTCATATCTCTGATTTGTGTAATTTTGCATTATTTTCAACTTAGTTTTGCTTTATAATCATGGACAAAATGATTCCTTTGAAGAAAGGGTGAATTCAGTCTCTTCTAACACAGAAAGCATGTAGTTTTCACATTTAACACATAATTTCCTGTACTCCCTGAATTACCAAATTGCACTTGTACCTTGGTGGTGGAACTTTGAACTGCAGATCATAAATTCTTATGTTCTATCCTGATGACTAGTTATTGTATCTTGTTACTATAAAATTGTTCATTTCAGATTACCTCTGATGATAAAACTTGCACGCATAAATACCATAAAAAGTTCCTGATGCTATTAAACTGTATAAAGCACATTCAGTTGCAGCTCAATGATGAATTCAACAAAGCTCAAAGTTTCATCTTCATTATTTAAAAAAAAAATTAAAAAAAAAAGAACTTAATAGTTCTCTACTATATGCGTATGTGGTAATCTGGTTTCACTAACAAAAAGTCTTGCATGAAACCTCCAACTTTTATTTGTATTTCAGGATTTCTGCATCTGAACTGAATACACAAATAATGTTAGCAGTTTTTCATTGTTAAATGTTGGCGCTTCGTCCCACAGAAACATAAATTTAAAAAAAAAAATGTCTATTTCAGTCTGCAAGAATATTTAGGTCAGGTATTTCTATGGGACACTAGAGGAATAAAGCATTGATTCTTGAATTTGATGCCATAGTAATTGCAAGCTCAATCCCTGAGTCAGGTAGTACAATTTCAGATACAATTGAAAAAACAAACTAAAAATAAACTGAGCAGTACTAAAAAAGAACAAGACAAGATATCCTTAGACATAAAGTAGAGAAAGAACAATCTGTGCCTATAGGTTAAATAAGGGCTTCAGTTCGAAATTTGCTAAAGGTTACTCAGACAGGAGAAAGACATAAGGCACAATGATTAAATAATTGTGATAATAACAATATAGATGAGAAACTTGGTCTGGGTGTAAGTAATGTAAACTCTTCATCTCAGAAATTCAGACATGAAAACTTGAAGCTTCAGGCTTGGAGCAGGAATGCAAATCTCACAATAAACAGATTGCCTAAATATATCTCTCTCTTATATATATATATATATATATATATATATATATATATATATATATATATGGTGCAACAAAATGATTTGACACATTTGTGCGTTTAATAAAAGCAAAATAGAGTAAAGAACAAAAAATGTATTTTTATTTTCAAAATGTACATATAATGCCATTTTATTTCGTTTTATTTTAAAAATGAAATCAGTCAAGTGTGTGCCATTACTTTCCACACACTGTCAAAGGCATTCACAAAAGTTGTCCATAACTCGACAAGTCATTTTATGTGTAATGGCAGCAATTTCTTGAGGAATGGCATCTTTTAGTTGTTCAATAGATCAAGGGCTTTGATTTCAGGTATCCCCACAGAAAAAAATTGAACGGGTTCAAATCAAGTGATTGAGCAGGCCAATGCTTCTTGTGTTGCAGTTGCCGATTCGTTGTTCTTGATAAACATTTCCACAATGAAAGTGCAGTGCTCACTCATCCAATTTCTGTTGGCAACTGAAAATGAAATGAAACAAAATGGCAGTATATGTTCATTTTGAAAATAAAAATACCTTATCTGAGAAGAAATTAAAAGAAGCAACTAAACAGAAGCATTGGGGAAAGGCGAGAATTGTATCCAGCAAAGAATTGACATCAAAGGCCTGTGCTCTTTTGAGAGCAAAAGGGAACAACTTCAATAACTATGATGAAGATCATGGTGCTAGTAGATAGTAAATATTCATACTATGTTGGCTTAAATAACATGATTTTTTCACTGCATTTTGAGCAGCTAGATTTATGTAGACATTAAACAGAGACATTTCTCAACGAAATTACAATCACATTTATAAACTTGATTGAGCACAATAAAAAATAGAAAGACAATTTTGGTGACATTAGTGAAAAGTTTGGTAATATATGATTGTTTTCTTTTATGTTGGTACAATGTGAATGAAGTTATTAAAAAAAATCCAACATTTGCTCATTTCAAATTTCTCTTTCTTAAGTAAAGTTCCCATATGTGTGTAAGTTATGTTTCTGTGACTTAATATCCCACATTATTTTCCTGACATAAACTTGATTTATCCATTTATTTTTTTATCTTATATACCTGTGTAGCTAATAGAAATATCTCTTTTGATCATTTTTAGTGCCAAAGATAAAGCACCTTACTGTGTGATTTTCATATTTTTCTCAAAGTTTCTCTTTTGTAATTCCTAGGACAGGTGATGTAATGGATAGTGGTTTGCAATGAGAAATTGGGGATCTGAGTTCAAATTCTAATCGGGTTTGTTATATTCAATTATATGCAAATACCCTTGGGAAAGATATAAATCTATCTCCTCCCCTCATCTATTTGGAAAAATTATTATTTCAAAAAAAATTGTTAATGCAATATTAATTTATAAAAAAAAGGAAAAGAATTGTTCTTACAATCCAAAATATGTTTTGACTTTAAATAACCCAGAAGGGGTTGATAAGCCATAAAAATCAAATGAAATCCTGGAACCTGTTTATGTACACTATTTATCAGTTTGTTGCTTCATAAATACTGAAGTATGGCTTTCTGTTTTGCTATGAAATTTCCTTTACCAATTATCATTGTTTAATATTTTCATATTGCTTTGGTATTTCTTTTGAGAGTATGTTTTCATATGTGGATTATGTTACTTGCTTTAACAATCTGTCAGAAAAATATTACATTTGTATTTCACTTGTATATGTATTGATTCAAATTGAGTCTTGGCTGATGACCATATCATGTTGAAAACACCAGTTCGCCGCTAATCATTGAAGTTAAGCAATGCCAAGCCTGTTCAGTACCTACATGGGTAACTGCTTGTGAATACCAGGTGCTGTAAGCTTGGGTGTGTTGGTGGTGTAATAGATAATGGCTTGGAATTGGAAATCAGAGAGCCAAATTACAATTCCAGTCAAGTTCGTTATATTCACTTATATACTTGGGAAAGGAATGATTTCACCTCTTCTCTCCCAGCTATGGGTTAATTAGTAGGACTTGTTTCAGTAAATCATTATTATCTTAAAATAAAATTCTTCCAATCTAAAAATATTTCCCACTTTGAATAACCTGCAAAAGGTTGATGAACTACAAAAAATCAGCCAATTAATCGTATTGACTCTTGTTTTGCTACTTTAATATATGTCTGAAATTCAATGTTTCTCCTTTTCCCTGTTTCTTTGACTTTTCAAATCACAGCACTACTAGAATAACCTATCCTCTGTTCACACTCTACTCTGTGTTTTTGAACAGGATTAGAGGTTTATCCCTTCTTAACTGTTTAGGATTGGGCTTCCAGTTCCTTCCAAAGTTTTTTCGTTCTCTTTCACTCCCAGTAGCCCTTTGCAGCTTAGTGGCATTATCAATTTGTTTGAGATGAATTGATTAAAAAAAAAGTTTTAAATAATAATATACAACAATGTGATATTAATAAATAGTAATACACTACTACAAAAGTATAGTAAGACTACTATTCAGGTTCTTTACTTAGACTGTTTGCCTGATGGACATGATTTTATTTGTTTCAATTTTTTTTTTTTTTTTTTTGTAATGACATTTTTGAAAGCAATATTACACATCTTTTTTTTCTATCACAGTCATGCTTGGAAATAATTGTAAATATTTATTAAATTTTGAATCTCACAGAATTTACAATGACAATGGATAGTATTATTTTATTTGAAATCAGTTTTGGGTTTATTTAAGTCAGTTCAAGATTTAAAATCTTTTAAGTATCAGTTTACTCATGTGTCTATTAATATTATGCTCAGTGAAGCTAAACTTGGTAAATATCTAATTGTTAATCAAGTTTTTTTTTTTTTTCAGTCTCTTTCCCACTGCTGTAAGGTTGCCTACCTGTGCCTTTTCTATAAATACTTTCATGGTAATTTGTTCAGATGAGCTCTTCGCTATGGTGCTTTGACTCTTTGAATTTAAGTGCAGTACTAGACTAACAACGAGGTCTCATCAATTTACAGTTGTCTAACCATAAATTCTATGCTAACAGTTTCTTTTCTCACACTTCTCACTTGTGGAACTCCTGGCTCCATGCTTCCCAACCAACTTTAAACTGCAAAAATTTAAATGCTATATACTGAACTCCTGATTACTCTTGTTTTATTCTCGCTCCTTAGCAATGTTTCTAACTCTTTCATATTCATGTGTCTCAGTGGCTTTACTACCTCGCATGGGGTGAACTCCATTAAAAAAAAAAATGTTGTTGTTGTTGTACATTTATCACTTAATGAAACTTGTATCACACTCTACTTTAAACTGATAATTGTAGAGATTATTTTATGATGGGCAGTGTAATCAGTTTTTTGGTCTTTTTTGTTTTGTTTTGTTTTTTTTTGTTCCAGCTGGTGGTCATTCTTTTATGACAGAAGTGGGAGATGATCATGCAATTAGTGGATGGAATCAATAGAAGCATAGAAATTCAATTATTTGCATGTTTTTGCACATGTAATACACAGACTTATCCACACCACACACACACACACACATATATATATATGTATGTACGTGTGGTGAATATGGTAGAGGAATGAAAACTTCCCTGCCAAACTGTAGCAATTTTTGCCTGGTCATCAAAAACAGTCTAGTGTTATTTTGATATAATATTACACATTTTTTTGTAACTGATTCTAGATACTTTACATTAATTACTGTCGTTAACTTGTCAAGTTAGGAGCAGCACTTGTTTAAATGAATTGTTTGCCATTTTGTAAAAAGCTAGTGTATTTAACTGACTTCTAGTTTCACTCTATACCCAATATCACCATACTTGGATGATAACCAGCTTTGTTTGTCTTAGAACCTTGTAGAAGGAGTTTTTGATGGTCTTTTAATGATGAAATTCTTTTGGTCAATATTTAATTTTTCCTATAATACAGGAAATAAAATCCTTTTTATAATGGATTTCATAACATTGTTGGATTATTATTCGATATCATAAATCTTTTAAACTTTTTCATAACTCATGTAGGATTCTATAAATATTACTCAGCTCTGTTTACTGAAACAAAAGTTAAAATAATAATAATGATGGTGGTGACAACAATAAAAGTAAGATTGTGTTGTGCCAATCTTTCAAATAGGCCTTACTGCTTTAAAACTTAAACTAAAACTTACTTTTAGCTGGGATTGAAAACTGACCTTTGGCATCAATAGGGAATAAATATTATTTCAAACATGAAGCAATTCTAAATTATTTACTAACTTTGCTTAGTCTGGCATAAGACTATATTTAGATGAGGTATTATTTAATCCTAATTAATTTTGTCTAGTATTTCTTTCATTTTAATTTTAGTAGCTTTTTTATTTTATTTTTCCTATGGTCAGTCACATTTATTATTAATGTATCTTTGGCCACAATTTGTTGAAAAACTAGAAATTTAAATTGCAAGTCATGCACTGAAATATTGTTGGTAAATTTTTTTTTTATTCCATTTATGTGGAAGTTACACATCAGAATGTTTAACATAACCAAGTTGGTATAAATAATTTTCAACATATGATTTGGATATTTTGAATATATCATTCATGGCACCATATCAATGACTATTGGGGGCTAAAGGGTAGTTCAACCTTGTCACTTTTTGCCAAAACTGGAAACTAAAGAAATGACTAAATTTGTTTTATATAACAGTAGTATTGAGCTAAGCTGTATTATTTGCTGAGAATCATTATGCTTATGGCCATATCACACCAAAACCTGTTTCTCATCCGATTACCAAGGTTAAGTAACATTAAGCCTGGTCAATATCTAGATAGGTGACCACTTGGGAATACCAAGTGGTATAATGAATAATGGCTTGGAATGAGAAATTGGAGAGCTGAGTTCAAATTCCACTCAAGTTTATTACATTCACTTATGAGCAAATAACCCTGGGACAGGTATGAATCTATCTTTTCTCCCCTCAGCTATGAGTTAAATAGCAGAACCTGACTGGATCCTATAGCCTTGGTTGGCAACTAGTCTGCTTCAGAAAGTAACAGCAACCTATTGCAGGAATAGTTCTGCCAAGTATATCACAAATTGAAAAGAGACATGATGACCTCATCATGCATGGCACCTAAGAAAGGAAGAAAATCATTACTGCCATTGGTTTTAAAAATAAATAAGTTTTTTTTTTTTTTTTTTTTTCACAATCCAAATCCAGGGCCTTCTCCCTCCTGTTAGAAGATTCCCCCCCTCCCTAATTGACCCTGTCTTCAGGGATGTAGCCATTTCAGGTTGGTGAGGCTATTTAACCCATAGTTCAGATGGATGGGTATTGACTCTGAGGAGTTCATCTGTTCTTTAACAGCTCTTGATTTTTATGCTGCTGGGGTTCCACTTACCCTCCTCACCAGACTAATGTCTCAGAATACACATCAAAATGGGAAAAAAGTGCATTCAGAATAAAAAACGGAAACATTTACTGTAGGATAATAGACCTAAAAATATTTCTTTTAAATTAGAGGATAAAAAAGAAAATAGGGCATGAAGAATCTTGAAAACATCTGACTTAACCTACTTTCACTTTCACTTTTAACATTTGATTTTTATTTTTCAGCAATGTCTTTTATGTTATATATTATATATATTATTCTCTTTGTTTTATTATCAACTTTTACAGAAACTTTTCTATAAACTGCACAAATTCTCAAAATGAAAAGCTTAATATACCAAAAATCTTGCTTATTTTATTCCATCTTCAGTATTAGAGTCAATAAAAAAATACATTCATTTACACAATTAAAAAAATATGCTAATAATGACATCTGATAATAAAAAGCAATCTTTTTTTTTAATTAAATTAAACCTAAATGCTTTTAATGTCATCTCACAACATTAAAAGAACAAACTTTTTAAGCTACCTAGTATGATTAGTATAATGATACTAATACCCTCAAGACACAATTAGACCTCAAACTTATTCCTGTTTCAGTTTTTCTATAATGAAACTTTTTTTTCAATTTTATATACAGACTCTGAATCTCTAGATGTGAACATTCTATTTGTCTTTGAAGTATTCCACAATGTTTAATGTTTTACTTGATTTACATTTAATAGCCACAAACACTGAATTAACATTTTTTAAATAAGCATTGTATGCATGTGTCTAAAGGCCACACTGATTATTCTTATTTTTGCAAGTACAAAAAAGTAATTAATTTTTATTGTTTATGAAGTGTGTTACTTACTGTTGTTCATATATTAATTTACTTATACAATAGAAAGGTAATTGTATTAAAAGAAATTAATGAATCAATGGTAGATTAAAGTACTGGTAATTGATTCAGGTCCATGGTTACAGTTATGATAGCATGATGCATTTAAGATTATTTCAAACATTTATCTTAAAATTATGATATCCATGCAATAATCAATAAATTATATCAAAAAATGTCGAAGTGACTTATCTCTTGACTGACTCCAGAGTTTTGCATAATACTGCCCATCAGGGTTATAGGGTCTCTGATAAATTTCCTCTTTGATGAGCAGTGTTATGCAAAACTTTGGAATTGGTCGAGTGATAAGTTGCTTGAATATTTATTAATTGCCTATTGTCACTCTAGCTGTCTATTGAGCACTTTCTTTAAAATTCTGGTAGCCTGAAAATATGTTATTCTAATAATTTTTATGTAATTTTATAGGTTATTCTTTACACCATTTATATTTGGACTATTGCTCTCGTCTTTTTTTTTTGTTTTCACAACAGTTCACTAGTTGTGCTGTCTAGCCTTCTTCATGTGTATATTGATCTGGGTAACATACATGGAGTTCTGAACTGAACCCTCTATTTAATCTACAGAGATAGACTGTTCTTGTTCCACTGCCCATGTATAGAAATATCTTGGCTAGTTCTTATTTATAGTACAACTCAATTATTGGTCACCCGTTTCCACTGAGTTCAATTACACACTGCCTGGCCCAGGTAATTTTTAAAAATTTTAATGGAATTTGTTTAAAAGCAAGTTAAGTTTTTTATCAAATTCTTTCAAGTTATTTTTAAGTATTTTAAATGTAGTTATAAATATCAATTTTTGTTCATTTCAAAAGATTTTTCCTCTTTACATCATTGCCCAAACATTTTCTTTGGGATTCATGTCTGAGGACAAATCAGGCTACTTCATTACAGATGAAAAGTAAACACTGAAGTATGAAACATTTGACTTTGCAGGATGGCAACTCACATTATCTCACCGCAAGATCAACATTTTCCTTTCTTTTCTGTTTATTAGTAGTTTCAGGATTGAGCTGTGTTTTCACATCTCTTAATACTGGAGTGCTGTCAAAGTTCTGTTAACAAAAACTAGACAACATATTTCACATCAAGTAAAGCCAACCCAGACTTAATTTCTTCACAGGTAAACTTATTCTTTTCAATGATTTTCATTGTAGATTATAACAAAAATGTTATAATAGCCAGGCTCATCAAAATTTAAGCATTTTCATCTGTTCAAATCAGGGTTCTCTTTGAGGATCATCTCTGCCAACTCTGTGTGGCATTTACTCAAATATGGTTTCAGCTTAGCTCATACAAGTTATGACAGTTATTGGTCAAAATTTTGTAAATGTATTTCAATACTTGCTGTACATGGCTTATAGTTTGTGCAGTTTTTCAAAAACCTTTTGATGGATTTTTTGCAGCATCTCTTACAATTCATTGTCTAGTCTGCTCAGAAATTTTAATTGATTGTTTCTCCATCAGTTTCAGGATTCCTCAATAAGTTGTGTATCACAATGTTGTAGACCGGGATTTTCCTAAATTTTGTCGAATGAGGCTTTGCAACATCCAGACGAAAGTTGGGGTACCATTATTATCCTGTTTTTCTTAAAAAATACTTTCTTTTGATGTAAACAAGGAATCTTTCAGCCTATTCAGAGACTTTTTAGGGAGCTCTTCTGGATTAGAATTACAGTAAATATCAACTTCACAAGTATATTTATAGAAATCAGTCATTTTTTTTTTTTTTTTTCAGTGCTTTTATAATTTCTGGGTGGAGTGTAGACAACTATGCATTTTATAAACCAAGCATCATTTCTAATACTGCAAGTGTGTATGTATATGTTTACATTGTGGTAAATGTATATTTACCAAAATATATTCACTTTTTTGTCACTTTTTCTGCAGTTTCATCATTATTAATTTATTGAACATCCTGTCTATTTTACTCTAACTTTGTCATACAGGTTATTATCTAAACTGACAATGCTTGGTTTGTCTATACAGCAGAAGTCCTTTTGTAAAAAGCCTTAAACAATGTACACAATCTATCTGATTAAATAGACCTTGATTACCTTAAGCTAGAATATTGAAGAAGGAACACAAAAGCCATATTCATTCATACACATTGTTAATTCATTATTTTTATATGTAAAATAACAGTCTTCTACATGTATCTTTACTCTTGTTCTCAATCCTCTGTAACCCCTTGCATGCTAGTGGCACTCCTGCCTTGCTTGGGGTGAATTGCTTAAAAAAGAAAAAGAAAAATATGCTTTGTCCTTTCAGAATGTAGCTGATCATAGCTCTCCACAATGTCTTATTCTTTGTTCTCCTTAGCAATGTTTGTCTTTTTACTAGCTTTCCCACTCCTTTTTCTGTCAGGCATTTACACAAGCTTGTTAAGTAGGTTACTTGCTGTTACCATCTGCTTCTCTGCCTTCAAAAGTTTATAAACCATAGAAAATGATTGAATGGATCAATCAGTCTCTTACCTTCAGTATGTCCTATGAGTGTTAAATTTTCCAGGCCTTTCCTCATACGTTGGAAATTTCAACTCATTCTAAGTAAAAGTCTCCTTTTTGTTTCCATTTTCCTTAAAACTTCATTGCTTTCATGTTCTCTTAATGATATTGCTAACATTTGTCAGTAGAACCACATATCTGTTACTTCAAGTCTCCTCTTCATCTGCAAGGACATTGTCCAACATTCACTGCTATGTAGGAGGATTTATATTACACAGTAATTCAACACAATTTTCTTTGTTTGCTATTTCTTAATACTTTCTTTAATGCAATCCCCACTTTACTATGCATGGAAAGAGAGGAAATAAACAGATTTTGAAATGCATCCTCTTAGCATTAAGATAATTTTAGAAGTCATTGTAAGCTGGTTCTTCGGATATCTTTGGCTGCTTAAGAGGAGATAAAGAGATTTTCTGCTACAGGCAACTATCTGCTGGCTGTATACATGGCTACTTCATTGATATAACAAGCAAACAAAATTGCTAAAAGATTACACACAAGTATCATGCAAACCCTCACCCTCATTTTGGCTTATGATTCTGATACAAAATTTTGCTAATGTGCAGAAATAACTGTGGTTATACTTTTGGGGGAGATGGGGGAAATTTTTGTTACTGATCTTTATGGACTTCTAGTTACCTTCCTAATAGTTTTTTTTCCTAACATATGACTACATGTATTTATCTAACCATGTTTATAAACTATTAATTGAGTTTTGGTTTCAGATATTAGAAACAAGAAAAGAATATCACTGAAAGCACCACTCTTCTTTCTCCTTGAAATATTCTGTCTTTTAGAACAAGGATGAGAAAGATCCTTGTTGTCCTCTGTAGTAATGCTTAAGGCTGAGAGGGATAAGGCTATTTGTCCCTTTTCATAAAGGAAATATGTGGAAACTGCTTAGAATAGTAATCTGTTTAATGTTCCATCAAGGAATCACTTGCCTCTTGATAGAGTTGAGTGCATTTTAGTGGTATTTTCTCTCTTAGAAATGGCTGGATGAACATATGACTTTGCTATTTCTGTCTTGTCTCTATGAATTTTTTTTTTGGGGGGGGAGTATAACATGTAATATTTATTTTCTGAATTTTCATTTAATATAATATTCCAAACTATTAAAAGCATGAAATAAAATCAGTACTGACATCTGAAAATAAAAAATCACAGAAGATTAATTTACAGTGTATTATGGTAATATTAGCCATTTCCTTATATGGAAATATTTGGCATTTATTGACCGAGTAGCAATTACTTCTGTCGGTTGAAAAATGATACAAGTTTATCAGACTAAGCTAAATTTGAAATGAAAGTCCAATGCTATTAAATTTTATTTTATTACCTGTGTCAAAAAAATAAAATGATGAAACAATTTGTGTTACTAATATAAAGAAAGTTAATTTAAAATTCATATCGAGCTTTAAAATGTAACCAAATTCATTCATCTCTCTGTTGTGAACACTTCTGGTGACATAAAAAACATGTTAAACGCACAAAAATGTTTATAGTATATATTGTTTTATATTTGTTTGTAAATGTTTATTTTTTTTTTAGTATTTATTGCTACTGTTATTACAACAAATACTAAAAAAATATTTTTTTTAAATCTAGAAAAGGGAGACAATTTCAGGAAATGTTTTGCCTTCACGAGTGAACCATTTATATTTTCTATTCTCAGGAACCACTTTTTACCAATTATCTTTTCTCTTTTCTTTCAGCTGGATACAATAAACTCAAGTTGTTCCTCAGTTTTGCAGTTGGTGGCTTATTGGGAGATGTCTTCTTACATCTGCTACCTGAGGCTTGGAGCCATGTCAACACATCTGGTTAGTTTAAGATTTCTTCTTTTACATTTGTTTTTTTTTTTTTTTCTTTCCATTTTGAAGTTTTCATAGTTCACTGCTCAAATACTGGACTATACTTTAAGATTTACATTTCTGGGCTACAATGTATGAGTATTGTTAATTCATCAAGAAATATGAAAGCCTAAGTGACTTTCAAAGGAAATCTCCTCCCCAAATAAAGATAAATAATATCTACAGTTACATGCTCAGACTCAGTGGAAATGGCAAGCAATAACTGATCAGCAGTAAATAAGAACAAGAGGAGATATCCCTAGATACAGACTCTTCTCATTCCACTGTATCTCCATAGATTAAATAAAGGTTTTTATGAAATTGAAATAAAATCAATAAATAAAATAATAGTAAATAGTAAAAAGAAATACATTTTCCCATAATTCTAGTAGTAAAGTAACTAGAAATGATTATCCCACTTGCCTTTGGCAAATGCAGTTAGGTGGGCTGGTTAAGTCTAGAAAAAGGCAAACATTTCTTTCCTCACTCTCTTTTCTCTCCCTTGCTCCAAGATGTAATATCACATGGTAATTATGTTCCTGCTGGTGAATATTTACCCAGTCACTGATGACTGAATTCTCTTTTCATTTTCCAACACCTGAAGTAACCTCTTGCATCCTAGTGGCTTTATTGCCTTGCTTGGGGTGAAATAATTAAAAAAAAAACAAAGCTTAATAATAAACTAAGAACTGATTTTTATTCAATTCTTACTGATAATGAATGATACTGGCAGAGGTATGCACTGAGTGCTTATTAGTTTGATTTGTGTCTGAGAATGTCAGTGTTTTAATATCATATATTTCCAAGTGAGATTGACAAATACCCTACATATATATATCAACACTGGACATTTACTTTTGCTTACAAGAATTTCTACTTTTGGAATTATTGGTATAAATTGTAAATTGCAATGTAGCTATTGGGAAACTAAACAAGAAAAGCAGAATATTTTTGTACAGTTCCTTGCAGTTGATTATGGATGAAGCAGTTAGAGAAACCAGATAAAGTTTATGAAAATAAATCACTTAAGTGAAAGAATCAGGAAAAATTGGAACCCCAAATGAGTCTTTATCTTAATTGCAACAGAACAAATTCTTATGCCAAAAGGAAGCAACCCACCTGTTCAAAACTGATAATGAGAAACAGGTATCCAAATATAAGATCTTTATTCTACTTTCAACATCTTCAGTTATATCAGATTTATAAATAAAATGACAAATTATTTAAACATATAGAGTTTTGGTTCCTCCTTTATTTACACAATGTTAAATATACAACACTGATCATATAACAACATTACCAGAATGAATAGAAAAACTGGGCATTTAACCTATATTTATCATCAAATTTAAAAACCATATAATATTAATAGATAAATTACATGCACACACATTTTTCTTACAGAAAAATCAAAAATATCATCTGTAAATAATTTAGTTCACTAAGAAGTCTACTGAGGATTGGATGTAAAAAAAAAAAAAAATTAAACAAAACAAAAAAAGCATTTATGAAACTCACAGTACAAATTCATATAAGAGAACTATTTTATCCTATTACTAATATTTCTTATGACTATAAATATTATTTCTAGCGAGTACATGTGTTTAACATCCCTGTTATTACTAAACAGTTAATTATTTATTATCAGTTGACTAATTGGTGCAACCATAATTTGGTATAAAAAAAATCACCATACAGTAGTTAGTATTCTCTTAATAGGAATTAATAATATCAAGTCAGGTTCAACAGTTAATGGAGGTTAATCAACACATGCCGGGTAAGTCGGCAGATAATGGGTGAACTATGGCAGAAAGGTTTATTCCTAAGTTCTATTATCCCCCATTATAGGTATTATCATATCCATGATATAATAACACATTATTTCATGGATGGAACGGAATAGCTGAAAGAAAAGTAATGACAAACATGATTTATTCTCAGAGAGAGTCTTATACCACTAAGTCATGCAAAATTATGTACACATATTTACATTTGTCCCATACTGAGAAAATATAACACAAATATGCAACAACAAGCAGTGCAAAAAGAGAATGAAAAGATAAGGTCTTATAATAATTTCCCATGGCAGTGGAGCTTTTCTGGAGAAGTAAAAATAAAATCATCCTTGATAATGGCTAAAAGTATAGCTGAGAGCACTCAGAAATGCAGAACATTTGGACAGTTTTCACACACTTTGTGTCCAGAAACGAAAGCACTTGTACAAACACAAGAAAAATGAAATTAAAAGCTTAATTGCAGTACCTTGTCAGTCATCTTTAGCAAAACATGTATAAAAGAGGGGTTGCTGCATAAATACACTATATATATATATATATATATATATATATATATATATATATATATAAATTCTTTATTACTTAGGCATTCACTGGCATCCTCATACATATCTGCAAATATGTTGATTTGTTATTTTGTTAATCATTTATACATTGAATTTGTAAATGAATTTCACTTCACTTCAGCAGTAACAGCCCCACTTAATCTCTTCCTCTCTCTCCCTCGATGCTTGTGCATACATACATTAGTCTGATGAGAAAAAATTTATTTTGTACAATAAATATTTGTCAACATAATCTCCTTCTTTGGCAATGCACTTAATTTAGTATTGAATAGCACTTAGATCAAACATTATACACTGATCAAACATTACACACTGAAATGTTCAGATTAAAATGTAATGAATAACTAGATATGGATTTTTTTAACTTCATATAATGTGTGTGTATATACACACAGAGGTAGTTACAGACATATGTATATAATATGTGTTCAAATCTTACCAAAATTAGACTGAAGCTGCATCAAAAGTTACATGTATTGTCATATGTTACACTTTTTTTGTAATCTCTAATCTCTGTTATTAATGTTTATCTTTCTAATCTTTTATTCTTCAGAAGACTTTATGTGGATTGGTAAATGCATATTGGTAGGAATCCTGTTATTTCTCATTATAGAAAAATTCATGGGAGAACAAAATGCAGTAAGTACCAATCTAAATTCTACTCTATCTTTCCTTGATATTAATAAAAGATCAGCACAGTGCTGTGACTGGAGGAAATTCAAGGTGGTAATGCCACTAGTATTCAAGGGGTGTGGGCGGACATGAGACAGAACCTGGGACGAGCACAACTAAATTTGACTTGCCTGCCCCCGCCTATCAGTTGAAATTTCCACTTACATGGGCTCGAGCGTAATCCATCCTCGGCCAGATAACATAAAAAAGAATGAGGGGGACTAATTTTATCCAAAACGATGCAATGCATTATGGGACATGGACGCAATGCATTATGGGACATGGACAATGAATTATGGGATGGATTATGGGTACATTATTTTTTTTCCAAATCGGCGAGTTCTTGAGGGGCGTTCCGGTGACGGCTAGAACGGGCAGTTAGTGTGATTTGGAGACAGAACTCAGGAAGGAACGACTCAAGTTTGAAATACCAGTTGGGAGAGCTTGAATTTTCGCTGGTTACTGTTTTCTTCATTTACAGGGTTACAGAGATTGAAAAAGAAGACTGAGAATAGGGGAGATTGAGGAAAAGACAAAAGATGAACAGGGTTCAAGAAGACAGATAGCGATTAACATTGTGTTTAAATTTTTGAAGATTGTAGATATCAGGGAAGCAAAGAAACAGAAAAGAAATTGTTGGGTTAGAAATGGCAGTTGCATTTAACTATTTCAATAAAAAGGTGGGATCGAGGTGCTAATCTATGAGCATGCTTAAACTCATATATTGGAGACACCAGGGGAAAAAGCTTTTCAAAGCAGTTGTCATGAAAATATTTGTAGAAAAGACAGAGGAAAGAAAATGACTGATGTTGAGATGCCTGGTCAGTATCAATTACATTACAGATCCTTCTTTAGATTTTTACAGCAGGAACACCAGACCAGATAATGCAACAGTATTCAATGCACAGGTGAATGGTAGATTTGTAAATGTGCAAGATGGATTCAAACTGTTACTCTCTTTTGTAATTTTCATTTTCCAATTCAGTTTACTTATCTCTATTTTTAATAAAGAGTTTTGATGTTGATGAAAATTACAATGCACTTTTATAGTTATGCAATGCCACTTAATTATTTATAGATTTTAATAATACCAAGTTACATATTTGAGATTTCTCAAATGCCAAAAGTTATGTAACTTTGAGTAAGGCTAACATGTATTTTACCTTGCCCAAAGGTGACACTGGATAGACAACAGCTATCAAATCTCTGAAGGCTTGCAGTCATGAAACCTCAGTTCTCATATGATCATCGAAGTAAAGCAACATAGATCCTGGTCAGTACCTAGATGAGTGACCACTTAGGAATACCAGGTGCTGTAAGCTTTGATGTGCAGATCATGTAATGGATAACAGCTTAGAATTAGAAATCGCAGAGCTCATCACCCTTGGGAAAAGTATGAATAACCTCTTCTCCCCCAGCTATGGGTTGATTGTATCAGTAAATCATTATTATCTCTAAAAATATTTTCAAGCCTTAATCAGCAAAAGGTTAATAAGCCATAAAAAAAACAAATCAATCTTCAATCAAATCTCTGAGAATTTTCACACGCTTAAAAAAAATATTTATTAAAAGCTTGATATAACACACTTCCATAAAAAATTATTTAGTACAAAGATTAGCATTTGCTTATTCAATGCTAATTTTGGCCTAAAAATACTTTACAATAAAATTAATCATCAAAAGCTATTAAAAAAGGAAAAACTTTTGTTAATGCAAAATGAAAAAAATAGATGGTGTTCTGCAAATCATATTGATGCTTAGATCTTTAACTACTTGGGATTGACTTGATATCTCACAAGAAATGTCTTTCTTGCTATAATGGCTGGTATCTCATGAAAAATTTTTTTGTTCTGGGTTTCCTTACTCTAGGATAGTGATTCAAGACAAATTATAAATGATGATCAAGGCAATGATTGTCAATGGGATATTTCACAAACATTTGTCTTTACTAACAGGTTATCAAGACTATTTGTAAATTATGATGAAGTTGATGAAAATAATAATTGTACTGGGGAAGTTGATGAAATTCTTTATCCTTATTCAGGCAATCTATCAGTGTTAAACTCCCACTGGATTCACCTTTTTCACTCTATGATGAATTTTGTCTTCTCTCTGGGTGGTATATATATATATATATATATATATATATATATATATATATATATATATATATATATGTGTGTGTGTGTGTGTGTGTGTGTGTGTGTGTGTGTGAGGCTAGCTCAATAAGTCTAATTTCAGCTGTTGTACACTCCAGCCTTCTTCAGGAGGTTGGAATGTCAAACAGAACCTTTTATTTCACTCACTGGGGTAGACTGTTCTAGTTCCACATGCCATGTCTAATGGATATCAGTTATCTCCTGTTAATTCACCTCTCCAACTTATAACTATTACATTTCCCAAACTGCCATTTTGCCAGGGGGAATTAACTCAACATTAACTTTTTTCTTTTTTTATCCACATTGAAAAAATTCAAATAGTGATTCAAGAAAATTTGTATATGATAATGAAGAAAGTTTAATGCTTTCTTCATTACCATATAAAAATTATCTTTAATCCCAATCTGATAAAAAAAAAACTTAAAGCCACAGAAATGTGGTTCTACAGAAGGATACTGAGAATACAATGAACTGAACATTTGAGCAATGACAGTTTTATAGAAAATGGAAGCAAAAAGGACACTTATACTTATCAGAAAGAGTTGAAATTTCTAGGAAACATAATAAGGAAAGAAGGTTTGGAAAATTTAATGTGCAAGAGGAGCAGAAGAAAACAATGTATAATCTGCTTAGTGGCTTGAGTAAATGGATGGTAGAACAAGGTTTAGGAAAGATAACAAAAAGACAAAATTTATTAAGAGTTTCAAAGGACAGGAAATTGTGGAGAGCCATAACTGCCAAAATCCTGAAGGGATATGGCACTTAGAACAACTTCTTTTGAAAATTCAGTAAATTTAAGATATATGTGCATTGTTATTATCATCTGGCATCACAGGGACAAAATAGCAAAATAATTAGCAGATATCTTATATCAGTCAAACAAGGGATGCCTGATGGTGACCAGAGTGTAGTTGGTTGAAACATATCTATAATAATATCTATAACAACTAAGATGGGTACAACTATTTGAAATAACAAAAGTATATTGGGAATTAGTCATCTCAAAAATGAAAATGATTAATTTCAGCTTGTAGGTAGCCTAATTGCTATGCTAGCAGTCTCAATCCAAGTTTTAGTTATTGGTTATTTTGTGAATATGCGTGTAAAATGGGAAGAATTTCAAAATATGGGGAATGTTTCATAATTAATACCTCCTATTTATTTCTACAGAAACTAAAACAGATACAGGAAGTACAATAACACTGTTGGATAGAATAATTTTTCACTTACAAAATGTTATTTTTCCACATAGCCACCTTTGCTTATGCATTTTTGCCAATGATATGCAAGGACCTGTATGCCAGCAATGATAGTGTTGTTATTAGGAAAATGTTTTCTATATAGTCCATCTTTCATCACTCTGAGTAAATGAAAGCTAATGAGTTCAGTGAGTGCAAAATTCAGCAAGCATTGGTTACAGTCAATGGGTTTAATTTTTCCACATGAAGTGTACTCTCTTTCATGTCATTATTTTGACAAACTGCTACTCAGTTCCCATCTGTAACAAGGAAAAAAATATGGATTACTGGTTGGAAGATTCAACTTCTACTGCCATACCATCAACATCTGCCTCTGCTATTGTGAGCCAACATAATAGGAAACATTACATTCAGAAGGAACACTTGTATCTATAGAAAATATCAATAAAAGTGAAAATGTATCGATTTTGTTAAAGAAGCCACATGTGAATCTAGATTAATTTTAATATCTGATCTTTAACAAGTTGATTCTGAGTTTCTCTCTCTCTCTCTCTCTTGTTGGGCAATGTTCAGTGTGATACAACTGAATGAATGTTCCAATTTCAAACTCTTTTACCTCTCCACCAACCTACATTCCTCTACCTATAACTAATATCTTTTACTTCCCACACCTACTTACCCTCTTTATTTGCATATTCCTCACCTTCATTCCTTCCCATTCTACTGTTATCTAAATTGCTCTAATCTCTTCTCGTCAACCTGGTCTATATAATCCCAACTGCTCCTCATTATTAAATTCCTCTTCAGTACCCTAATGTTTTAAATGATCTGCACCTGACTCCACACACTACTACCTTTGGTTTTGTATTTTGGTTTTATGTCTCATGAGAGAAAGCGATGAGATTTCATTGTCACACATCTACTTGAACCATTTTTTTTTATTTTCACATTTCTGAGAGTTGACATTGATAAAAGGTTAAAATATCAGCAATTAAATTGGGACATGAATGACATTTTTAAATAAAGAATATTAAGATAAAATGAAATCTTTGTCACCAATAAAATAATACTAACACATTTGTAAAAACTTCGTGTTAAGTGCTTTAATGTTAGCAACAATGAATTTAATTTATCCATTTAATATTAATAGCTGTTCGTAAGAGGGATGTGCAAAAGTTCTCCATGAAAGACTCTTTTTCAATGGTGTATTCAGTCTCTACTTTTCTATTTAAAAAAAAAAAAAGTGAGAGAACTGGGAAAATATATACACACGCACGCACTAACACTTGGTCAGGTGATCATACTGAAGTGTAAAACTGCTAGTTACCATGATGCAGTGTTGACTATATTTATAAATGTTGTATATCCAATATCAAACATTCTTTCCCTATAAACATAACAAATTTTAACTAATATATAATATCTCTCTCTCTATCTATCTATATATATATATATATATATATATATAGAGTTTGTCTGACGATCGCTAAAGCGTGAAACCCAGGGTCACAAACTCACATCTATCCAACCAAATATATATATATATATATATATATAATTTTATTTTAGATATTAAAGCAAAACATGTTGAAATAGCTTTCATGTTTCAGTACTACGTTGTACCTCTTCAGGTTAATGGTAAGTGACTTACCATTCACCTGAAGATATATACACACAAATGTGTGTGTGTGATTACTTCTCCATCACCACAGGGCTTTTGAAGAGATATCTGTATTTTTGTTAAATTGATAGGACATGTAACTCAAAGAAAAAAAATGACATGATCAAGATGTTGATATTCACCACTACTTCAAACGAAAGATTAGGAAAGAATTCCACATCAATACTGGGAAGAGTGATAATAGTGACCCTAAGAAACTGTTTTTCCCAAAAAACTGAAAGATTTTATAAATTTCAACCAAAGTTAGCACTGGCTGTTCATTCAATGAATACTCAATGTTCCCATATAATTAAATGACTAATATTACCATTAGAGATTAGATGAACACTTACTACACTGTGATCCCTGCCTGATGGCCAAGGAATAAAGAAACTCATAACTGGAGTAGCACTGGCCATTTGGTCAATGAATATCAAATGTTTCCATGTAAGGAAACAGTTAATATTACCATTACAAAGAGTTATCATGTGATAAATATTCAAAACACAACACAAAAAACTTTTTGAGCATGTGATTAAAAACAATCTTAAAACATTTTATGTTGATATTGAAGGCTGGAAAACATTAATAGAAACTCAATCTGTAGGAGGAAAATAGTAAACAATGGTTGTAAGGTATTCATTGCAAAGAAGGTTGGTTGTGCAATCTTCAAATAGATTTTTAGAAAGCAGGGCAACTCAATCCCAGATAATTTTCAGCCTGAGCATACAGGCAACATCTGTAGTAGGGTCTTCATATCCAAAACATTGATTGATTTCTTTTCTATGGCTTATCAAGCCTTTTGCAGGTTATTTAAAGACAGAAAATATTTTAGATTGTAAGAATTCCTTCATTTTTTTTTTTTTTTTTAAAGATAATAATGGTTTAGTGATACAAGACTTGCTAATTAACCTATAGCTGGGGGTAGGTGGATTCATACCTTTCCCAAGGGTATTTGTGTGAAAATGAATATAATGAACCCAACAGGAATTGGAACCTTGCTTTCCATATCCAAAGCAGATATCATGACAGTAGGCAATCTCAAACAGACTGCGTTAACAGCCAGCAACAATGAGCTACAAGAAATTTATATTGGATTTGTGACATGGTGTGGGTCAGTAGCAGTTATGAGCAGTGACATGAGAGTACATAAGGACTACATAAGCTTGAAGACCCTGCACAAGCCTTTTGTCTGCCATATATGCAGGAAAGTCTGCAGAGTCACTTTTCATTTTTTTTTAATTTAATATGTTCTCAATTTATAGTACTTTTGAATTATTTCATGATAGCAAACATAGAACA